CGGGGCTGTGGGCGCCCCGGCCCGCTCCCGGGAAGCAGGAGTCGGGCAGTGCCCGCTCCGGTGGGTCCGTCCCGGGTTCTTGCCTCTCTGAGGGGAAACCCAACCGGAACAGTTTCATGACGGTTGATTCTAACGTGCCGAAGCACGTGGCTGAGCTGAGATTAACGCAAAGCGGGAGGGAAACCTGGGCTACGTAACGGACGTCTCTTACAGCCCAGCAGCCTGGTCCCGCTTACTCGTCCCCGGGACGGGCACGTTCTCCTCCTTGCTGGGACGCTCGCTCACCCAGTGACAGGAGCAAGTCACTAAACACGCGGGTGCGCGTAGGCATCCGGGCTGGGTAGGGGCGGGCGTGGATGGGTACGTACGTCTGAGCTAGCGCCGACGGGATATGCTTCTTAAAGACAATTCCCTTTATTTGACTGACATTCAGCACCACTTTCACGGCTCCGTTCTTCTCCCAAGCTGTCAAGCGCAGTTACGGTTGCATTGGTGAGAAAAGCAGCTGTAATACCCGCTTTTTAGAGAACCCCCCTTAAAACTGAAGTTACTGTTCTGTGTTGCAGCTGATTCAACTTACCGAGCGCCCAGATCCAGTCTCCAAAAGGCTATTTTCACAGCTTCTACCTATCCTAACGCCCGCGTTTTGCGACCATCCCTTTCTTAACCATCGTGTTGCCACCTAGCGCCCAAAAGCCGTCAAAGACTTGTCACAAGGATCAATTCTAATCGTCCACAACCAGGGTCACGTTCAGCTTTGAAGGTTGGCTTAATACAGGCGAGAAAAGGCAATGCAAAAAGCCGTTAGAAAACCCACCCCCAGTTGTCTGGATTTCACAAGGACTTGCAGAGAAGAGGCAATGCTCAGGCAGGAGTCTTCCACAACACGTCCAGGAAAAGGTTCCCTACCCAACGCTCCTCAGCCATTCAGAACATGTCCCGGCTTTGTTTTTTCTTTAACATATAAATTTACTTTTGTTAGTCATTACGTTACTTTGGATTGAAGGGGAAGTAACTGGAAGAGATACAGATACTGGTTAAAATTTTTCTCTGTTTAGTACCTTAGTATGTTTAGGGGAAACTGAGAAATGTTAGCTATTATTTGTACCCACACTGTACAACCTTTAGCTCTGGGCACTCTTTAAAGAACATCTATTTCTGGCCAAATTTCAGCTTTTCTTCCAGAACTGGTTTCAGTGAGCCATTTATTTTTCTTCTGGAAAGAAGAAAATCTGCTACAGGCTTTGGATGGAGTGAACCTTTAGTCCGTCTGGAAAGTAAATTGCAGAATCCAGCAGCTGCATTAAATAACTCAGAACGACAAATACATCACAGGGTACGGTGGCTTCCCATAACTTGCATCGACTGAGCCGCAGATAGGTTGGTACTTTCCCACCTGTGATACCAACACTTTTCCAGAAAGACACCACTGTTTAACTAGTGAGACACCGCAAGGATTGCAAACCGGATTTTTGGTCTACAGAACCTTAAAACTTGTAGTTCACATCTCCTTACCTTACCTAAGTAGCCCAAATCTCCCCAGTTTTAAGGATCTATTGTGCCTATCCACTATACTTTGGGGATTAAACCGTCCCCGAGTTTTAAACAGAGGGGAAGGAGAATATATAGATTTAGATGAAGTAATTCTATTTGCAACGCTTTTCTGACAGAATACTTTGTTTTCCCTGGTAGTAAAAAAAAAACAAAACAAGCACTCTTTTGTTATCCTTGCTTATAGCTCCTCCCCCATGTAAACAAGCCTCACATTTTTAGCCATTATAAGTCATCCTTATTACAGATTTCTTACACATCTTGCGTATATTTCAACCCTCTTCTGAGAAGAGAGCAGCAACAATTCAAGCCAGGATTTCTTTCTTATAAAAAGAAACTTGCTGTTCCAGATTGCAAGACAAGCAGAAAATGGCAGCCTGATTTGTGTTACCTAGTGTAACTGGCAGTTGTCAGTTCACTTCAGTTTTTCTGAGATTCACGGTGTGTAAGAACAGCATAGGAAGCCTACAGTCGCAGAGTCGACGGCTCAGAGACACTGAGAAACATGTAATTCATTAAGTAGTATTTCTCTCGTTGAACTGTTACCACTAGCTTACCACCGTGGGAAAAAAAAAAAAGTCTTCAAGATGAAAGAGGTTTGCGCTACGGCAGTGCTCGCCAGAGTCCATTAACGTTCCAAAGAAAGGGCCTTTGCTCTTGGGAGAGTAGAAAATTCCCCACACACAGAACGTGGCTGGAAGACCCTACAGTAAACGGACAAATTCTCTTACCTACAGGTTTTGAGGGGGGAACCAACACCACTTGCAACTCCTTAGACAAAACAGTTTAGCAGTGAAGGCTGTCATGTTTTTCCACTACAACCAACCTTCCCCTCATTCCGTGGAGGCTGCCTGTCATACCACACGTTCAGATGGAAGGGGTGTGTCAGGTACGCTCGATAAACTCCAGGGAGGGATTCCCAGTTACGGCTCTTTCACACCACACCACACCTAAAATCGACAGAAAACACAAAGTAGGAAACCCAGGCCGTTTCCATAGTCCAGGATATTTATTCAGGAATAAATAGGGAACACAACACAAGCATCTTAGCCCTTCCCTCCCGGCTGCTGAGGCAACCTGAAGCCCACCAGGCCGGCGACCTCCTCAGGCGAGCGCTCCCCCCTGCCGTGGTACTCCTGGTGAAGGGCCGCGTGCCGCCGGACGCTGCGGAGCAGGCAGAGGTAGGTGGCAGCCTGGAAGTGCAGCTCCTGCCGGGCCCGGCACAGCTTCTCGCTGGTGACCTGCCGAGAGGAGGGAACAAGCCCCGAAGACTTCACCCTCCCCCCGAGGCCACGGGCTCCCGCGCTGGGCTGCGCGGCCTCGGGCAGGGGCGCC